TTATAAGTGCTTTTGATATAGATTCAGTGCAATATGTTTAAAGGAATGCAACTTTTAAATACATAGAACTTCACATTTCACTTGCTTCGTACGGACCGTTAGAGTTAAACTATTAAAACAGCACCTTTGCACTATTTTTATGTTTTTATCTACTTTTCCTTGTGTTCAGAGTTCACAAATGAGTAAAACAACTGAAATAAATACCACAAACACAAATAGATATCAGAAAAAACCTGTCAGAGAAAAAGTAAAGATTCTGCTTTTGCAAAAATATAAAAAAAAAGTGAAAAAGCTACATTTTGGGCATATAAGCTGAAAAGTGACTTTTTTACAAAATTTCTATCAAGTAAAAGTGGAAATCATTTCTTCTCATATAGTTTGACAAATTAATACCAATAGATCATTCAGAGAAGTTGTCAAAGTAAAAATTATAAATTTGCTGAAATGCACCTCTTAGGCCCGAGACCACAATTAATTCCTCTATCAGTTCTTTATAACGTTTTGTTGCATTAAAAAAAAAATCCCTTTTGTTTTGTTCAATTTTTTGTGTATGTATGTAATGTACAGTCACTACAAAAGTCTAAAAGTCTGAAAAGACCAGTTTTTGTCTTAATTTGCATGAACTTTTACTCGACATTCTCCAAAAGTATGACTTGTGTCTTAATTTTTCTTGACAAATTCTCATTTATATTAAATTTGTATGAAATTTACTCGACATATTCTCGACATTCTGAATATGGTCTTAAAATTTCTTGACAAATTCTTGACATTTGAATGCTGTCTTGAAATTTCTCGACATATTCTCGACATTCTTTTTTTTTCTCAGTATGGCTTGACATATTCTGAACATTTTGAATCGTGTCTTAAATTTACTTGACAGTTCTGAGTTTTACAAATCATGACCAAAATTCATGATATAACTTTAATCTTTATTTCTCTTTATATGATATACTGTTGTTTCAAGTAACACTTCTTTACAACAAAAATAAAAGTTGGGCATGTAAAATAATTGAAAATTTGGGTATATACATATTTTTACAAATGCAAATATGGCTATGAAATCTAAAGTATAAAATAATTCAAATGTGGGTGTGTTGATATAAAACAATTTCAATGTGGGTTTTTAAATAATTACAAATTTTGATTCCTAAATCTTATAAATTAAATGATTCAAACCAATCATACTGTAGACATATTTCATTCTACATTCATAATATTCAATGTTGATATGGTAAATAATTATTATACCAAAATGTGGTTTATATAAATAGCAAATTATGATGATATACAAATCATTCATTTAACAGAAGAAAAATTTGTGTAATGTCATCTGTTGGAATATATTAAGTATTACACATGGGCAGGATGTTCCCCATTAAATTAAGGTATTCCACACCCCAGAGTACACGCAACTGTCAAATAGAAGTTATTGCTTTACCTGTAATTAGCCATTAAACTTATCAGTTGACCGACCATGCCACTACAATTTAAAAAGTTTGTTGATAGATGAAAATGAAAATCATCATTTTGATGAAAAAAAATTGAATTGAAATGGATTTTCTTCATCAAAATTATGAAGTTAATTATTTTAACATAAAAATAAATTGAATAATTCCCAAAGATTAAAAGAAAATTATTACCTACTTCAGAAATAATAAAAAAAATGTATTTATAATGGGTCCCATCAATGATTTCAATAGAAATCATCGGTCTTATGAAATGGTTATGAAAAACAGACATGCATAATATAGATCTAAACATTTTTTTCTTTTCAGGAAGGAGTTATCACAAATATTTATTTTTGATAAAAAATTATAAAATTCAACACTCAAATTTGAAAAAAAAATGTTTTTGGGTTGTTCTAAAAAATGAATAAGGTTTTTGAATCAAGATGGGAACAAATTTGACCTAAACGAAAGCCCCCCCCCCCCCCCTCTTTTTTTAGCCACACAAACCCAAAAGATGAATTGTGGGGTCCAAAAGAGATACAAGATACCTATTTTAGTAAAGCAAATTTGACTGGGAGTTTTGCGAACGGCAAAAATCTAAATGCTGTTTGTCAATACCTTCGACTTATATTCCAAGTGAAAACAATTACTTAAATGTTTAATAAAAATACATCAAAATTAAACTACATGGGGGATTATTCAGGGTATTCCAACTTAGTTGCACCAAAAGGGTATCTTACTATACCAAATTAATCCTTGATTCTTCAAAGTTTAGTTTAGCCATAATAAAAAGGAGTATATAACAGCAATAGAATGTCATAAACAGTGCAGAATAAGTCTGTTCACATTTCAGGCGAAATTTAAACTGTTGAGATAGTGTCAAGACATATTTAAGACTGTCAAGAATGTGTCGAGACATATTCAGACATTATTTAGAATGTCAAGAATATGTCGAGACATATTCAGACATTATTAAGAATGTCAAGAATATATCAAGACAGATCGAGACAAATTTTAGACAGTCAAGAATTGGTCGAGACTAATCCAGACTCTTATCAGATGATACAGGAAGTGTCGAGAAATTTTAAGACAATGTTCATACTGTCAAGACACTTGTCAAGAAAAATCAAGAACCTTATTAGACAAATTCATATTATGTCAAGAATTTTAAAAATTATTCAGACAAATTAAGAATGTCGAGTAAAAATTCATGCAAATTCAGACAAAAACTGGTCTTTTCAGACTTTTTGACTTTTGTAGTGAGTACAAGTCTAAAAATATATCCAATTTTCAGAAAAATTGCAAGTTTATATCATACAAATTTGGCCAACACACATTCATACCCCTATAGACAAGTCAAGAGATGTTCCGAAAAGTGTAAATATTACCTTTTTGCACCTGTCTAATCACTCTTTCGATATCAAAATCAGTTAAAATAAAACATTCAAAAGTTTATTTCAACTCTTTTTTTTCATTTCCACCCCATAAAAACTAAGATATGTATGAGAAAGGAAAAGAAAAAATAAAGAAAAAATACACTATAATAAATTGTATCTTGTCTTGGGGAGGGATAAATCCTACTTGGTAAAGAATCACTCTGATTCAAACAAAAATTTTTCTGAAACTGACATTATCAAGATGCTTGATTTCTTGATTGACAACATATTTGTTACGTTTGAAGGACGTGTTTTTCAACAGACTGTCGGCATTCCAATGGGAACCAATTGTGCCCCTCTCCTTGCCGACTTGTTTTTTTATTATGATGAGGCTGACTTCATACAGGAACTTCTTAGGAAGAAAGATAAGAAGTTAGCAATATCCTTTAACTTTTCTTTCCGATATATAGATGATGTTCTCTCACTATATAATTCAAAATTTGGTGACTATGTTGAACGCATCTATCCCATCCAAGTAGAAATAAAGGATACAACAGATACAGTTAAGTCTGCCTGATATCTTGACTTACATCTAGAAATTGACAATGAGGGTCGGTTGAAAACAAAGCTTTACGACAAAAGAGATGATTTCAGCTTCCCGATTGTGAACTTTCCATTTTTATGTAGCGACATTCCAACAGCGCCTTCATACGGAGTATATATCTCCCAATTGATACGATATTCCCGGGCTTGTATTTCCTATCATGATTGTCTTGATAGAGAGTTGCTGCTCACAAGGAAGCTATTAAACCAAGAGTTCCAAATGGTGAAGTTGAAATCATCCCTTCGTAGATTTTACGAACGCCATCACGAGTTGGTTGACCGTTAACGTTTCACAGATGATATCAGATTTGTTCCTTATGTCGTAATCACAATCCACATCTTTTTTCACCACGAATGTGACCTACCGGATTAGACTATTTACCGGATGTGTAATAGCATGAGCAACACGACGGGTGCCACATGGGGAGCATGCTTACCCTTTCGGAGCACCTGAGATCACCCGCAGTTTTTGATGGGGTTCGTGTTGCTTAGTCTTTAGTTTTCTATGTTGTGTCTTGTGTACTATTATTTGTCTGTTTGTCTTTTTATTTTTTTAGCCATGGCGTTGTCAGTTTATTTTCGATCTATGAGTTTGACTGTCCCTCTGGCATCTTTCGCTCCTCTTTTAAAGGGAACTATATTCGTGGACAACGAAAAGCTGGATCATTAATTGTGGTCTTGGGCCACTCCTGGCATCTAAAAACACTTACACATTTTGCCGCAATAACGACTACGGTCGATGTCGGAATCGGAAATTCTATAACTTCTTTGAGAAAGTAACATCTCGAATGGTAACTTTTAATACGTACTATTAATGACTGTTTAATAAAGGTTTGATTGTATACTATTCAGATACCTGCATAAGACTCCTCCATTATTATCGAATTGAAATACTTGGTAACAAAGCAAACTCGACGTTGAAGAGTATTTGCAACCCACAACAACCGACAATTATACAGTAAATTCTGTAACTGGGGATGAACTGTATAATACAAATCGATCAATATTGGAACACAATGACTAAACAATTGTGTCGGGTTTAAATAAGAGTACCAATATTTTGTTTCGTCTCCAAAATACAAAAAAAAACTTATCAAAGGGATATTCAAACTCATAAGTCAAAAACATACTGACAATGCCATGGTAAAAAAAAAGAAAAACTATCAAAAGATAAACAACAATTCGTAAAACAAAACATAAAAACCAAAAACTGAGCAACACGAGCCTTACCAAAAACGGGGTGGATCTCATTGGCTCCAAAAGTAGGGGCAAACCGTGCTCCGAATGACGTGCGTCGTATTGAACATGTAAGTGCTCACTCGTTGAACAAATTTTACAGGTAGGTAACACTCGAAAAAGAGAATTGCAATTTGGGAATGGAACTTATCCGTCGTCAATTAAGAATCAGATATTCCATAACGTTTAACCAGCTGGTGATGGCTTCGAAACATTTTCAAAAGTATTACTCAAACTTCACATCTTTGAATAGTTTTCTAGTTGTACACATCAACCTTCTTCTAGAAAATCATGATATAAAATCCATCATACCAAATTCTATATTTTTTAGGTTATATAAGCAGTACAAATTGCCATTCATGAAAGTCTGCATTCATTTGGTAAGTTTAATTACATTAAAAGGTCAAGGTGCAACAGGTTTAAGAAAAATTAATATTTTATAATATAGATTAAGACGAAAAATAATTTCGAGTATTATCTGTTTATACTAATTTCAGGTTTTAAAATTCACATCAATAGAAAAACATATTTGAAATGCCACATTTTGCATGTATAGTTATAAATTAAATATGAGGACAAATAAAACATTGTAGGAATACTATCATATTTAAGATTGATTATCTGTGATTTCTGATGCAGTATAACTAACGCATTACCATGTGTGCATGCCCTTTTTTTTACCTTATCTTGATAAATTTGTTTACATGTGATCGCTGTAATGATGACATACAATTATTCATGCTCTCCTGTTACAAAAAAATATACTGATATTAAATTTAAACAACAAGAATTTTGATTTCCTATCTTTTATAAAAAATGAATTTGTTCGCCTGAACATATTAGCCTATTTATAGTGTCCACGTAAATTTTGTGAATGCTATTATTATTTTCAATTTTAATGTGCACTGCGATATATTGTAATGGTGAGTAAAATCGCATAATAGGATCTTTATTTTCAAATAAACAATACACAAAACGTCATCATAAAAGACGTATTCAACATTGAACTTATCGGTTTCAAAGGAAAATAATCGCAGATGGTTTTTATATATAATAAAGTTGAGGAATGTTTTACTCATTTATATGTTCTTGTATTGTGAATGTAGTTTATAGAGTGTTGATTTTCTCCAATTTCAGATGTTTTTATACCACGAGCATAAATTAATTTATCCATATTTTGCATGCATTTTCGGAAATTTCTTGATTTTGTTCAATTTTGTAATTGATGCAATGTGCAAACTAATCACATTACCATGTCCCTGAGGAACCCTGTGTAGGAGAAAGTCCCGAATTTTAGTTACCAATCTGGTATTTCATATGCATGTTTCTATACATGCAAGTAAGATGAATAATTTGTTCGGAATGATTCAGAAAGAAACACATGTTGATTGGATCGGGTTTGTTTGTTATTACTAACGACTTTGTTGAACATTTGTCAATCAAAATAAATTTAATACTTATACATAAAAATTTAGACGGAACAAATAGGGGAACCTACTTTTAAATATATACACATAAGTGGGTTTAAATCAGAAAACAAGATTATGGATCTATTACAACTCTGTTAGGTTTGTTCGTCGTCAGCATGTTTTGCTTCATCAATAAAAACATTAAATCGTTTTACGTTAATATAAACATTTTTTTATGATTCATATTTTGTTCAATGCATATTTTCACAGGTTGGATTCTTGTGGCTTCTTTTTGCTTATGCATACATGCTGTTATTTGACTACAAAGTAAATGGAATTTCACGCACAGACTATTTTATAATCACTTGGATGGTGAGCTTTTTCGTGGACGAAACCAAACAGGTTCTCAATTATTTTAACAGCTTAAAGATTGTGTTTAATAGATAAAAGAAGATGTAGTACGATTGCCTGTGAGACAGTTCTTCATCCTAGTCCCATTGTTTTAAAAAGTAAACCATTATAGGTCAATGTACGTCTTTATTCACCGAGCCTTGGCCTTGTTTGTTTTCGATATGAATGTAGGGTTTTTGCTAAAAAATATACATGATATAGTGGTAATGCTGTTTTTTTTTTTAAAATGTAATCAATAAGATGTCTGTTTGTGCAGATGAGGCTTTCTACCTGAGGCAGGTTATTAGTCTTTTTTTATATTTTCCCCATTAGTTTGTGATGTGCATACAACGTATTGATAAACAACGCAGATTATAAATTAAATGTTTTATATATATGTGAACGCAGATTTACCAACGTCATTTTAGCGCGTATATGAACAATTTTCGGCAGTAGAAGTACAATCTCCGTGATTCTTAGTTTTCTGATATCTTTACTTTGTGCTATATGTATCTCAAAGTACCTACATAAATTATCAAGTCCTTTCCAGTGTTTTTTTTATGGTTGCTATGACGCTGTTTTATAACCCCGACACATGTAGGCTCCCTTATTAAATGGCAAAATCTAAAGGTCAAACACACCAAGCAAAAGGAAAACAATTATAATCATATGTTTGGCTAGGTACATGCATTTTGTCATGTAGAAGATGGTGGATTAAACCTAGTTTTTTAACTATTGTTCCAAATTATTTTTTAACAGGTTACTACTATATGTTCTATAATACCAGTCGTGTTATATTTTTAAGCATATTGTATCAATTGTACGAAACAAATGGAAAAGTTACATTAGTGACTGGTGGAATCGGTTAGACTGGTGTTCAATATTGGTATATACCGTTGGAATGTGTCTAAAGTTTGGCGAAAAACGAATTTATCAAGATGCATCGAAAGTCTTATTAGTAGTTGCTTTTATACTTCTGTGCATACGGATCTTAAATCTGTTTTGTATGTCAGAGATTCTTGGTCCCAAGTTAGTCATGATTCGCAAAATGGTATGTACAAATTTATTAACAGTTCACTAGTATTTGTTTTGTTTTTTTTCCTCTCAGTACAACCACGATACAGATGACATTATTAACCATGTCAATACATAAATCCTTTCTATAGATTTATTTTAAAAACTTTAAAAAAATGGAGAAAAAAATAACACAACGACTATCAAATAAAAAGTATAATGTGACAAAAAAAAGTGAAGCGTTATTACCTCAAGTATGATGAAGATCAACCAATGCCTGTAATGTCAATGTATTGATGAACATTCAGTCTGTTACAAAAGACAATAGCTAAAACAATATGTTATGCTCTTAAACTCTCTTAACTAATAGAATGTGATAAAATTATTCATCTGATTTTCAAAGAGTTAACTCCCTTATGAATTTATTCTATACATTCCTTTAACTGTAAGATGTAAACAATACTTTACATAAGTATGAAAATTAAATGAACATGTTTTATTTACATCACGTGATATCGTAAATATGGTTTTTGTTTTTTAGTTTTCAGATACAGTTGCCTTTATGGCCATCATGACAGTGATTATGATGTGTTATAATATATCTTTTCACGCTCTTTTATATACTAACTCTGAGTTTACCTGGTCAAAGCTGGAAAAGATCACTCAAAATGGATACTGGATGTTATTTGGTGAACTGAATTTAGATGCGGAAAAATGTAAACACACATGATTCTTGTGAAAACTTAAAATTATCTTTTTTCAATTTTGAGTCCGTGATATCAACATCACATCTCACACAATATGTCATTTTATTTATTTGCAAAATAATAATAATTAAATTCTTTTAAACGAATAAACAGTCACTTTTCCAATGGTCAAATCAAAATTGAATCATGTCGCCTCAGATGAGTAGCTCGTTTTAAACATATTTTTGCCATACGTGTATATGTTATATGAATTATATTAATTGAAATACATTATTAGAGTACATGACTAAAACATAGAAAAATACATGTTATTTATAAATAATGATACTCATCACAAAGCAAATTAGGCATTCTATAATCCTTGTTTTCTGATGGAATATATAATTGTTTTACTTTCTATACAAAAACACAGGTGATTAACACATTAAATTACTACAGTACCATTCATATATAGCTCGGGAAAGATCAAGGCAAACGGCATATAACAATAGTCTTAATGAATATAAAAAAAAGTTCATACAGTTGCTGCAAATAGTTGACCTGGAACTGAATTTATAGTCATGCATAATAGTATATTTTTAATGCAAGGTAAACGATCACTTTAACACTAAATAAAGCAAAATTAATTTAAATCCAGTACTGATTAATTTCTATCATATTGCCATTGTAACATAATATTAACATATTCCAGTAACTGTACCAGACTGTACATTCGACAGAACTTTGTTTGAATTTGGGGCTTTGCAACAATGTCCCTCGACGTTTGGGTTACACCTTGTGCCTTACTTGAAAGCTTTCTATGGATTGATAGCTGTAATATTATTGCTAAACCTGCTAATAGCAATGTACAGGTAAAATATGTCATTACCAACACAATGAAGTATTTGTATGAAATTATATCATTGCACTTTCCTATCTGTTATTAACATAAGCTTTCAACCTTTGGACATTATAAATATTAGTATAATATTTATCTATGATTATGTTGGCGATAATTTATTGAGTTCTTGCAAAGTATCAATATTTTTACCACTGAGGTCATTGTGTGTGGTTTATCAATTAACGCTCTAAAACGTATTCATTTCGCGTTTGTGTTCTTGATTTATGTTCTACATAAATCGGTGGGTCTCATGCTTTTGGGTTTTTTTTCACGTCTTTGGTGCCAATATGCATGACATTCATTCTGACAATTCGGAAAGGAAATAAACATTGTTTTAAAGAAATTGATTAGAGTGAATACAAAATTTACAAATTATCAAATAAATGTTTTAAATAACTATACTTGTATATGCAATTTTATTGATATGTTTTTTCGACGATGCTCTTAGAACTTAGATGATCGTTTATACTCAAGACATGTTCTCCCCCGTCTTAGATTGCTAACAATATAATGAAATGCCTTAATCTATATGTATAACAACTGATTCAGCATCTAGGAAACTTTAGACGGTGCGGAGACGTTCCCACTACTGTTAGCTACAAAAACTGACAAAGCGTTGCCTGTTATACATGTTATATTGCCTTACGTAAACTGTCCAGTTTGTAGAAGCTTCCACAATCATTAATATTTACCTGAACAATTGATAAAGCGTAGCATTTAGTAATGTCCGTACATTATTAGTGTTCTTGAGAAAGTTATAAGTATATATCAATTTATTTAGTCAGAAGCAATTGTATGTGCATTTGTCTATTTCGTTAAACACTAGAAATAAAAGATAACAGTAGTTAACTGATGATATAATACTTTCAACGAATTAAAATGTCATGATTGTATGTCACGAAAATAAGACTATCGATTTGTTATAATTTCTAGAATGAGGGAACCCAGATGCGAAGACAGAATACTGGTGCATAATTCGTCATTCGTTCTCTGTTGACTATACTTTTTTTCTCTTTCGTTTGGGGCACGCTATTAACGATGACATCCGAAACAATGTTATCAAGAAATCCTATTACGTATCTATTGTAATACTTAAACACCATTAAATGGGATAGAGAATATGTCAATGTTGAGACAAGGAAGATTAAATTTGGCAAGCTAAACTCATCTCATTTGTTTGTCATTTATAAATGATCTATCTGTGTAAATACACGAACAATATCAATAAATGATTTATACTCCAAATGTCGATAGTATCCTTAATTCCAAGTTCACTGTGATATATAACTTACAACCATTCACCGAAAGTTTAAATTAAAAAAGATTGCAAGATGATATGTTTTAGTTTGGATAATGTATTTAAAAAATCTGCTTCATACGTATAAGTACCAAACCAGTCGGTCTGAATATATGCACATGGCGTATCCATTGGAAAACAGACTGTCTGTTTAAATACATATTTTTGTAATCCAACGAGTTAATATATAAAATAATTCATTTTGATGATATTGACCTTGTTGTATTTAATTGTGTTATACTCTCTGAGTAAACATAATTGCAGTTTAAAAACGTATAGATAAAACATCAGCGGGCGTTGTTACACAACTGCCTTCGATGATTACTTTGGTCAATTAACAAACCTGAAAAGTAATTATATAACATACTTGTTTATATATCATTAATGTTTATACATATGGCAAAAGCATTGCGGAGAAGTAAATATTTCTCCTAAAAAAACATTTCTGTGCAGTTGAATTTGAATTTCTTTCAGTAATACATTTAAAGAAGTCCACGATGAAGCGGAATTTTATTGGTCACAGCTACAGAACGACTTTCTTGAGGAATACAGTGTGAAAACGATATTTCCAATACATGTCCAGTTACTTGTTTTACCGGTGATCATCATCCATGCCTTCATATGGTTTTGTTGTCCTTATCTTGGTGGAAAATTGTATGAAAAATGTCGCTGTGATGAAGAAGTTGATTATGGCCAGAAAGCTGTTGTCGACGACGGAACAACTTTAAATCGTGGTCCTATGTTTGTTAGAGGTAAACATTTGTCTAATATAATGTCTTAGTTCTAAATAAAAGTATTATATCTGTCAAAATGAAAATGTTGATGTAATGTCTGTAAATATGACAGATTAAAAAAGACAACACCATATTTAGAGTCTATGGAAGTATAACCCGGTTGTAAGAGGTTCCGGTGGCAAAACACAGTGCTCTTCATCTTCGTGTTTTTGATAACATTGATTCTTCGTGGTTAACGAAATTCAACAATATGATTCATAATTGTTTCAGAGATCACAATTCTGATGTTATCGACTCTTTTAAGGCTTTAGCGTCAAGAAAAGGTTTGCAGTTTTTTCTTCAGTACAGCTCCCTTACACTTGATCAGCAAATGATTTATTTGAAAAACATGATTTTATTATTTTGATTTTCCCCGTGCGATATTGAAAATGTACTGTTCTGCTTTAATATGAATAACATATATAATATTCAAACTTCAATACAAAAAAATAACACAGTGAACTCATCATCTGAATTCAATCTTAAATGTCAAAACTCATACTGACGCATCAACTTTGAAAGATGATTGACATACTTCATTTGTCTTTTGTGATGCCGCATACTAAATTTGTCTCATATAATGCAGTGTTTGTGTTTTGTCTGGCTTCTTTTCTGTGATGATTGCTAGGGAATATTTTTTGATTGTACATCGGTAAAACTCTCTGAAAAACAATTATATTTGTAGTTATGACCGTTCGTGATTAACAGATGTGCATACTGTTTTACTGTCTTAAGTTTCTCTGATTCCTGCTTCATCGGCTGGCAAATCTCATAATGATAATTGTCTTCATATCCATATATATATGTGCGATAAAGTTGTAAAGTTGTCACATATATACACACATATACTGATTTTATATTGCTGTAACTTCGTGGTTAAGATGATTAAGATATTCAAAAGACAACCAAGATGTGGAAGATATTCCATCCATGCGACTTACATGAATTCGCCAAACGATGCAATGCTACAACCTTATATATGGTCTAAGAGAAGATGCATAACTAGACTAACAAACGTTTTGTTTTACATACTGTAAAAGAGAGGCAAAAGATACCAGAGGAACATTCAAACTTATAAGTCGAAGCTAAATTGACAACGCCTTGGCTAAAAAAGAAAAAGACCAAAAAGACAAACAATGGAACACAACACACAACACACAACACAGAAAACCTAGACTGAGCAACACGAACTCCACCAAAAAACTGTAGGTGATATCAGGTGCCTGCGGAAGGGTAAGCAGGTTCTGCTTCACATGTGGCATCCGTCGAACGTGTGTTGCTTATGTTAGTACAAACCTGGTTGACCTTTTAATATGTTTTGCTAGTCAGAGTCACATTGTCACCGAAGCATGGGTTCACATTTTGCAGAAGGAAAATGTGGTAAAGATGAAACAAAGTATAGGTTATAGATCTATTCACCCATGTGCAATCTAGTTATATTCAATAGGGAACGTATATTTACGTTTATAAACATACATATTATCGATTTTATTTTAGTTTTCCTGTATAACACAAATTTTGATTTAAAGCTAAAATCGACGAATGAGGCCGAGGGAAATGGTGCTATGAAAGCAAAAGGGTAAAATCTTTAACGATATATTTGTTTCTGGTCCTAATCTAGTTTATATTCATTACTTCTTTGTTCTTATTATTGACCTCAAATATATGTCATTATTATATAGAACATCAGCTATTAGGAACCGTCTGGTCGAATAAAATAAAAGACTCAATAGAAATTGAAAAAACCAAATTATGAGTTAAAACATTACACTGCTGCAAATTCAATTACATGGTTCTGATTTGACAACATGTGTGACAACGTCTTGTAGAAGAGCATAGGTCAATTAAAATGCATAATTTTTTCTTTTTTATCTTAAACTGTATATTTGAAATACATATAATCTTTGAATTTTTTACTTCAAAATTGGCCTCATTTTAAGATTTTGTATATTACTTTGAATATAGTAACCACAGAAGTAAGAACATATTTTCTACAAGATGCACTTACATCTTTGGATAAAAAAGGGGGAAGATATCAAAGGACATTCACATCTCATTCATATAAGCCTAAAAGAAACTGACAACTCTCATGACAAAAAAAGCCAAAACCAAACACTAGTATACAAGTCACTTCATTTGGATGATCTCAGTTGCTCTGGGATTTCAAGTAAATCATTTGACACCTGTAGCAATGCAGTAGTATGCAAATCCAGGAAACCTGGTATCTTGTCCATTTCTAAAGTTTCTCCTGAATTCAAATCTACGTTGATTACTTTTTGAGTCTGATTCTCTATACTAATTGTTATTTTGGTTTATAACTAACTTTTTTTCCGTATTGTCATATTTAATTTTGTAGTTAGTTGCCTTTACAGTACCAAGTCAGGAATATGACAGTTGCTTCAATTTGTTTGACATGTTTAATGTGTTTGAGATTTTGATTTCCCATTTGATAAAGAATTTTCCTTGGAGTTCGATATTTATTTATTTAACTTATCATGATCCATGTGATTAGTATGCTGCTTGATATCATTTTTATAATTACGGAATCAATTTTCACTTTGATATATAGTTATATAAATCTATCCATTAGAACGATAATGTAAACAATAAAGAATACTAACATTCAGATATATTTTAGCACAATGACCACCAAAAAGTATGCTTGTGATATTTAATGTTGCCATATCCGTATATCTAATGATTGCTTATCAATTCCAGAGAAATAGACATCATGGAAACTGACAGAATAACGGTAAATCTTCGTGTTGATATATACTTAATATAGTGTCAGAATTCACTGAATTAAACCTAATTGTAGCGTGTTATATCCTAAATTTACAAAGAAAATGCATATGAAATCGAGAAAGAGAGAGTGATGCGTAACATATAAAAAATGCTCACAAATCAACAAACGTAGCATACTAGTATAGTTGTTTAAAAATTAAAATAAGGAAGCCATTTTGCAATGGCACATTAAAGGATCAAGCTACATTTTTTAACGATTCATGTAGATTTTCTTTTTGGAATTTCAGCAGTAGAGTCAAACAACATGAATAGCTTGTTCAGAGTAATCTCTTCTTCAACATTTGTTTTCTCTGTTTGTTTTTTTGTCCTGTGTTTTTCATTATGTGTTACTTATAATAGAACTATTTCATGTATTTTCGGCGCGTATTGAACTGATATTGTTGTATGACGACGGAACATTTGACTGGAAAATTTTGAGTTTTTTCAATACTTGTGTTTCCATTCAGTAAAGTGTTTCGAACATTGTTATTATAATTTGTATTTACTTATGTATATATTACCTTGAACACAGCACAAATGGAGTATTTCACGATATAATGGTGTACTTTATGTTTAACAGAAGCTTCAAGTTCAATTGGATTCAAATAGCTCCAAGCTAGAACAGCTTAACGAGAGAAACGATAAACGAAATCAAAAGGTTAGTAAGCTGATATCGAAAAAATTGAAAAAAAAAAACAAAACATAATTCATAGCTATGTGATCAGTTAAACATATCCTGACTTATAAAATAATTGATGATTGATATGTGTTTTACGCCACTTTCAGCACTTTTGTGATATTTCGTTGCTATCAGTTTCTATGGTTGAAGGAAGCAGGAGTGCTCGAAGAGAACCAACGAGTTCGGCAGGAAAACTGACAATCCTAGCCAATTAAGATTGCAGTCAAGCGCACCTGCCATTTGTGGGATTCTTACTCATAACCTAAATGTTGACATGCTAGTGATTCAATAGTTCGACTACTTTTTCTCTTTGCTACTTAGACCACTCAGCCACCGATGCCCCACTCTCTTTATACAATAAAGTAGCCTATTTGCTATCAAATTTCTATGTGATCATTACTTCATCACAATATTCTTTGACGATTTATATAACGTGATTTAATATTTATATGACTTGATCCTTATGTTTAGTTCCAAAACATAACATGAACAAGCTACTGGTCCTTTACATAATGACATGTTTTACAATATATTTGCGCAAAGTATGTTTATGCATCTACGTCATTTGGTCTCTGATTGATAGTTGTCTCATTGACAATCATGCCACATCTTGTATATGCATTTGTCGTTTTAGTTATTGAACAAACAGAAAGAGATGGATAAATATTTGAGAGATATGAAGAAATATTTGAAAGATATGAAGAATGTGGTTCGTAATCATTGTTATATTTATAAGTAAAAATCATTTATTCATATTGTAGTCACCACATATATATATATACGTATCATAGTAGTTTGAATGTTAAATTACAAAGAGCATAAAACATCAAAGCTCCAAAAAGTTGAGCCCGAAACACATACGTCGTAGACAATCTTTACGTAAGTGTTTCGAAAAATTCAATATTTCATAAACGGTATATTTACAGAAAACAAACAGAGAAATAATTTCTAGGCCAAAATAAAAGTGCAGAACTGTCCATTGTAACATTTAGCAACCAGCAGTCATTCAATCAAACATTAATTACATTCTTCTAGCCTTGTACAATGTTACACTGTTCACCGTGTTGTATGATCACATGGTCTTGTTTTTCTTCTGTTATCATATAAAGCCTTTATTTTAATTGAAAGAGAGACGTGTCATTTAGTTCATTAAACCAATAAAAAAAAACTGATTAAAGCAAATTTTGTTAGACGTTATGATATAAAAAAAAAGGAAGTTGTCGTATGATTGCCAATGAGACAACTCTCCACAAGAGACCAAATGACACAGAAATTAACAATTATAGGTCACCGCACGGACTTGAACAATTAGCAAAACCCATACCGCGTAGTCAGCTATAAAAGGCCCCGAAATGACAAATGTAAAACAATTCAAACGAGAAAACTAACGGCCTAATTTATTAACAAAAAATGCACGAAAAACAAATATGTAACACATCAACAAATGACAACCACTGAATTACAGGCTCCTGACTTGGGACAGGCAAATACATACAGAATGTGGCGGGGTTACACATGTTAGCGGGATCCCAACCCGCCCCCTTACCTGGGACAGTGGTGTAACAGTATAACATAAGAACGAACTATAAAAATCAGTTGAAAAAGGCTTTATATGATGGAGACATAATCTTTCAATGAGTTTTATTGAGGTCTGGAGCTGGCATGTCAGTAACTGCTAGTATTCCTTTGTTAAATTATGTATCATTGACATTTTGCTTAGTTTCTTTTGTTACCTATTCTGACATCGGACTCGGACTTCTTTTAAACTGAGTTTTACTGTGCGTATTGCTATGTGTTTCTTTATTCTACATTGGCTAGAGGTATAGGGGGAGGGTTGAGATCTCACAAAAAATGTTTAACCCCGTCACATTTTTGTGCCTGTCCCAAGTCAGGAGCTTCTGTTAGTCTTGTATGTTTTTTAATTTTAGTTCATTTAAATGTTTTGGAGTTTAGTATGACGTCCATTTTCACTGAACTAGTACATCATTTTATGTAGGGGCCAGCTGAGGACCCCCTCCAGGTGCGAGATTTTCTCGCTGCGTTGAAGATTCATTGGTAGACTTCTGCTGTTGTCTGCTCTTTGGTCGGGTTGTTGTCTCTTTGATATATTCCCCATTTCATTCTCAATTTTATTAACTCATCAGCTGGATACAAATAGAAATACATCTTACAAAAACACAGAGTGGACGTGGTCGGGTACTTGTATATCCCAACACCAAAAAGACACTTAATACTGATCTGAGAGTACTCGCAGTTACTGACAGCTAGTTCAAAGCCACTAACAACTAATAAAATAAATCATGCATCTAAGACTGAATTATCAATCAGTACACATCCAACATCCCATGGATTTAGTGTTAAGACGTCATAAAGAGTCAGAAAAAACTAGTTGTAAAAAATATAAACACCGTAAGTCGCTGCCAAAGGAACATCACCATCCAAAAAGGGAAAAATTAACAATAAGGAACGAAAAATCGTCCCTTTTGTCGTAAATTTTAGTGTGGAGTTTCCCGCGTAAAACCCTAATATCTAAATCTAGGAAAGGACAGTTATTATCGTTTAAATTTGATTTATTTAAAGTAATTTCCTTTGGGTAAATTTTGGCAGTATATTGAGAAAGTTCTTGATTATTTAACGAAAAAATATCATCAAGATAACGGTAAGTGTTGTTGAAATTATCAATTAAATGCAATTTAGACGGGTCTTTACTGAGTTTGGTCATAAACTCTGATTCAGTACAAAACAAAGTCTGCTATTAAAGGGACGCAATAAGTGCCCATTGGAATACCTACAACCTCTCGATAAACTTTGTTGCCGAAACGTACATAAATATTATCAAGGAGAAAATTAAAAGCTTATTATTATGTATTGTGTATGATGATATATTTGTTATGATGACGAATAAATATGTTTAAACTAAAATTAACAGCTTCAATCATCTCATCACACCTCTAGTAAGTATATCTAGCATATTTACCTTTCTCAGTAGAGAATCAATTTTCATATGCTATTGGAACGTAAAAATATTGCATATTGTTAGTTCAGTTATACTTTGAGCTAAAACAAGCCTCATTATACTGTCATAACAAAACCTAGCTTTTGTCTATCGTTTGATTTTTACTGTCGCTGTTTCTATAAGATATTTTTCTAGTTAGAAAAACACTTCAAGCAAACACATGCCCAACACTCTGTCTAGATACACTTTGTATTTCTTTAATTTAACTTATACTATTTTGTAAATTTTTACCATATCAGATATTGAAGAGACTGGAAGGTATGCATGGCAGTTTTGGAAGAATAGAGAAGGAGGTTTGTAATAAAGTATACTTGATTATAAACAAAATAAGTAGTCACCTTCAACCCATCATTCACACATGCAAATAGTCATAGTTTATGACGTTTTGTATTAGTTGTTGTTCTTCATGCATGTCAACATTTGACTCAATGCATTTTATATGAAAATATTCACAGAAATTTTCACGATTTTCATTTGCGAGGAAACATAGCATTCTGTTGAAATCAAAATTTAGTTAAATCAGCTGGTCGCAATGACATCCAATATGTTTATCATGATATCAAATTGATGTAACTTAATCCTTTACATGATGGAATGATGAAGGTATAAAAAAAATATGCTTTTTTTTTCCGTATTGCAATCAATTATCCATTTCACCATAAATCAAATACACTTGTGTATGTTCACCCGATACTACAAGCACATGGGTATCCTCATGCACAAGCGATTTCCAACAGAGTAATGAAGAACTGAAATCTGACGGACAACATTATGAGTTTTGACACACCGTCTACAAGTTTCAATTCACTAGCAACATGTTTTGCGTCTAAAATCTTTTTATACGAGTAGTTTAAGATCCAGATAAAACTTTGTATTTTCAATATTATGTGTTCGTCGTTTGAGTTGTATTATGTGCATAATCCACATTACGATTGTGTTTAATTTATTCTACAGGTTGTTTGATACTTTTCTTCTTTAAATTAAGATATATTAACTGAAATATTTTTATAATTATCGGTGCTTTAGACAAAGGTGTCAAAATTTAACACAGCGAACAAAAACATTGGCCTATAAAATTAGATCAACATTTCCTTAATCATAACAAAACATATTATATGACCAGTGACTTATATCGTATAGTAAGTATAATCAAATCAGTAATGGAGTTGCAGTTTTATTAATAACCTTCTAACTTGATTGTCACTTTAAAAATAAATGCATATTTATTCACCCCTTATTTTATTGATTTTTTATTTAAATTGTGTTCAAATATACATGTAGTTCGTATAAACCAACTCGGTCGAATGGTTTCTTATGCATATCACTATATCGGTAGGGGAGATTTATTTAGATGACTGATTTTATAAAAACTTATCAAAACAAAAAGGTGATATAACTTAACACCTTCATATAACTACACTTGGTTAAATGCCTATTTTTTTTTTCATCAGTTACAATGTCTTGGGTCATCAACGCAAAGTAACGGAAACAGTGTCAATGGGTTTCATTCTATCCAATTTTCTGGCCATATTCAAGATTTAAAAACATATTTTTTTCTTTTTCTTCTACAGATATAACATGTATCCAAAATGATTTAACATAAGTTCAAGTAGATAAATATATTTTTAAAGAGCCACATTAAATTGAGACGCTAGTTTCTAAAAGTGTAGTGATAACGCAATTAAGAATTACAAAATATTAAAAGCTTAATTGTGTACTCTTAGGTATCAAAAACCGCCAAAATTATGAAAGAGGTAGATTTCACTTCGGATGAAGAGGAAGAGGAACAGAAAAGTGATTCCTCAAGGTCAGATGAAGAGGATTCCGATGAATTATCTAGTTCTCTTGATTTAGAATCATCAAGTAAGAGCAATCGTCCTAACATTTGGTTAAAAAATTAAAAAAAAAGAATAGTAAGCAAAACACCGTTGTGTTAAAAAAGAGGGACGAAAGATACCAGAGGGACAGTCAAACTCGTAGATCGAAAACAAACTGACAACGCCATGGCCAAAAATAAAAAGACAAATAGACAAATAATAGTACAGATGACACAACATAGAAAACTAAAGACTAAGCAATACGAACCCCACCAAAAACTGGGGGTGATCTCAGATCCTGCTCCACATGTGGCACCCGTCGTGTTGCTTATGTTTAAATATTGAGCACTTTTGGGATAAATGAGGGAAACAGTAGTGTACATATATAGGTTATGACCCACTCATCATTTTTTAAATTATATACTCATATCAACCATCGGGACATTATTGAAAGCGACTTATACATTTGCATTTTGTGGTACAGGTGACACTTGTGAAATAGTTCTTCTCCGATTTTTGTTGGGGTATGCCGTAATAAATTTTGAGATCCTTTACATCTAAATTCTTAATTGGATGTTTCTGCCAATTTTACACCGAATACATAATATTAAGACATTAGATTTAATGATCAATAAACTGATATTTTTTTTATCGGAATTTTAAATTTGAAACTAAGAAATGTATCACCTTGATGTATTCATCTGACATCCAGTTCGAATTTGGCCATTCTTGTGATCCTTTCAGATTTTGTCAGCGTTTCATCGTTTCCATTATGTTTTGGTTTTCAAATATTTTGGCTGAGAGCATAGCTCAAGAAACTTTAAATGTGCATCTAGCGCTGTAACATTGGTACCTTTAATGTGACCAATACATATATATAGATTCTACCACTGCATCGAGTGTGATACGATATTTATCCACTCGAGACAGTTAAATATTTAAAATTTAACTGCCGAGAGTGGATAAATATCGTATTACACAAGATTTGGTGGTGGAATCTGTTTCTCTAATGATTTTCAAACAATACGCAGGCAAATGTATTCCTTCTTTTCGAATGATCTGCAAAAAGATGTGTTCTTTCTATGTGACGTCATCAGGCATGGTCGCCTTTTTTCATGCCGTCACAATAGGAAATTCAGAGGAAAGCAAGAAAATTCGACGTCATAATCGGATTTTAACCAATGAAGAACTGAGATCAAACGAACCACACGTTGATTAAATTTTTTTTTATACAATGGGTGCAGAAAGGGATAAACTGACGAAGAATAAGAGAAATTCCTTTACACATAGAAAGTTAACTGTTTATTGTTGTTAAGCATATATATATATATATGTTGTATACAAAATATTCCTGTTTTTTGCAGATGACCCAGATTGTAAAATGCAATGATCAGATAATAGCAAAGTTGTAAGCATGTTTGAACCAAAATTTTTTTCGGAAAAAGCAATATCATGACTATTTGTACCATAACATATTGTATGAACTTGACGTCCGGAATAACACTGGATTGATTGCCTACTATATGCCTTAAATCATCTGTAGTGTCGTAACATATGTATTTACATTTGTGTATATGAATGTATGAATATGAACTATATTTTCTCGTAGTATGTTCGATGTATTTCTTACTGTTTTCCAATGAAGTTAAAAACAAAAAGAGCAGCTGGTAGCTTTATTCTGTTGATTGTTATATCATAAATACTTGAATTTAGTTTGCAAAAGTTTGAATTTCATGATAACAATCATTTTTATCTGATTAAATTCTCATTTTCTCTGTTATTACAAGAAATGCGTAGTAACAGCAACAGTTCACCCAAAATAATTGCTTACGATCACTGCAACGTTTCTAAACAGAAAGCGAAAAAACCTATATGACATATATTTTCATCATAATGTTTTTTTCCTTTTCCTTGTTTATTTTAGATTATCGCTTCAGCTAAAGAAAACGTCCCATTACATGATTTTGTAATTAATTATATTCGTAATGTTAGTAGTTGTGTTATACTATAAGCTACGCTTTAGTGTTTTTTTTTTTTATATCAATTCAAAATAATTGCGAATCTTACTGTTAAATGAATGTTTACAATGAAATTGACGGTCTTAGTTTTTATAAACATTTCTGGTAGGCTTTAGTTTTCAAGTAATTTGTTATCAAGCAATTCGTGATCAATGGATAATTATTCCCGAATATTTGAGGCGTACTGTGAACAGTTTATTTTATTTGTGAATATGCCAATAACATTATAATACCGGTTGACCATGTTAGGTTAATAATACCATCAATTTATTTCAGAAAAACTATTTGTATAGCTTTTTATTCTATCAGCGTTATAATAAAACATAATTTACTTTATTAACTGTATTTGAAATAAATATATTTGTACAATCATTGTTTGGTCCTCAATTGACTTAATTCATGCAAATTAAAATCAAATTATGATGTGAGCAATATTGCATTTTCTCAAAACTGAACGTTTGTCTATGTTTCTTTTGGGCAGGGGTGGTTTTGTTTTGTATATTTTTTTTATCAAGTTGTTACTGTGACTTGGCTGTTGGTGTTGCTCTCAACCTTTTGCAACTTATTCAAAATTCTGACCAATTCTGCAATTTGTTTTATAGAACCAAACTGTTCAACTGGTCAGAATTTTGAACAAACTGCTGTAGAAAAACCACAGTCAAGTCGTGAAAGTGCAAGGTGATAATATAAAGCATACTTACAATCCTATAAGACTTTAATTCCACTTCAATGTTATTATGAAAAATCACTCTAACATTTTGTATAGAAATTTTATTGTTATTGTCATGCTATCGGTGATGGGTAGTAATTTTGAATTGCTAAAAAAAATGTCCAAACTAAGCTTTCATACAATTTTCTTTCGAAAAGTCTTCTATATTCATAAGAATCAAACATCATTTGAATTAAAACATTGTTATACTCAGTAAAATATGTGTGAAATAACAATACGATATTAGTAAGTTTCCATGGGAGATAATCAATTTTTCTTTCGAAAAGTCTTCTTTATTCAAAAGAATAATGTTTTAGGCTATCTCCCATGGAAACTTATTAACAACGTATTGTAATTTCACATATATTTTATGTGATATTTTTTTTTAACTCGTGACCGAACAACACTGATAATTAACTCATGCGCTACGCGCATTCGTGAATTAATGTGTTGTTCGGTCACTCGTTGAATATTTTTCTCTATTTGAATTCTTCGATTAGTTATTCTATAAATAATGACATAGTTTATTAGGCCATTGACGTTGATTTGTAACAGCTGTTATACCAATGTTATATGGTTTTTCATGTTGTATATTTTATCTTCATAAAATACTATAGAACCCCATATTTTCTTAACTTAATCCTGATGTTGATGTTAGGTTTAAAGTTCAGTATCACTTGCCCAAACAGATTTTGTCAACTTAGGAATGATTTTTGTTAGTCAAGTATTTGATGAAATATTCATATTTTATATTTACTTTTCATTCTTCTGTACAACTTATATATACAACCTTGATTTTTTTTCTTTTCTAAATAAAAAAAAATTGGATACATATATAGCGCTTTACATGTAAAATTATGAGCAGTTATGATTCTTCAACCTGTACCGATAGTGCTTACTTATATTTTTGCATTGCATAAGGTCATGTTTTTCTCAGACTGTTTAAGACGTCTATATACTAAATCCGTTGGATGTATTTAGATTTATAAACTTAAGTCTGGGAGAACATGATTTACTTATTTGTTGCAGTTGGCTTTGAACTGTGATTATGTTATTTATATATATTGCGTTATTTCATTAGTTTTGTATTATATACCTATTTATTGAGTTAAGCCGTTTGTTTGCAAATGATTTTCACAGTTTGTTCTAATTTTTTGCCAGTACACCACTGTCCCGGGTACGTGGAAAGTTGAACTCCACCATATCCTGTATGTGCCTTTCCCAAGGCAGGAGCCTGCAAATCAGTGGTTGTCGATAGTTTATGGCTTACGCATTTGTTTTTAATAATTTGTCCTGCTAAAATAAGCCGTTGTTGTTCTAGTTTGATTTTTTTACCACAATTTGTTATTTCGAAACATATTTCAGAACACTATCAGTTTCGAGTTTTTGTTAATTTTAAAGGCATGCAGTGACCAACTAATAATGCAGTAACAATATGTCCGCGCATCGCAATGGAAACATTAACGAAAAAGGTTATAACATACAAGTTTAATATGTATCACACACATTGAAAATGTCATGTCTGATTTGTTGAACCATAAATAAAAAGAACGATTATGAAATAAGAGTGAATATGAGGTAGAATTTATTTAATGTATATTTATATTTTATCTTTATCAATGTGTCGTGTCTAGTACAATCAATTTATTGGACGGTTCATTGTTCTTTGATGCAATAATATGAATGTTCATTTGTATTATTTTTTGTTTGTTTATTTGTATACTAAACTGTTTTTTTTCATACCGCTTGCATTTGCTTTAATAAAGACGCTTCAAATTTATTTTGTCAGTTCATTTAAAAACTTTCAAGTTTATAAGCTGTATTACAAAGTTAATTACATGACATATATTAGGTATATAACACGAAGTACTGAAAATTGCATTAACCTTTAAACTAGACTGTGATTAAACAAATTGACGAGTTTGCACCAGTGAAACTTCTTTTCTTTCAAACAAACAAACAAACAAAAAAAAAACATATTTTGCTAACTTCTAGTCCTACCTCTTACATATATGTTAAGTACTGGCACTATGTCATATTGGTTACACATGGTTACCGATATCAAATGGAAATCTTTTGTAATTTCAACATGATCCTTTTTATTGGGATGCAAAAATAGAAAACAATATGACATCATTATAGACCGTATTTTCCAGGCAAACTTTTTAAGCACTTTTTAAGCACTATATCATCGGATAAAATGTCTTTTTAAGCATCGGCAATATCAAATGTTGTGATGTAAGCCATTCTAAGATCATTCCAATATTACCACAATTTATAATAAGCGAAGGCTATTTCAAAGTAACATTCTCAGTTGTTTTTGATTTTCGAAAAAGAACAGTCAAAAACATTGCTCTGTGACAGTTAAACCCCCAAAAATATTACCAGACCAGCAGCAAGCTAAATGTTTCATTCCTGGTACGAGTTAAACGATGCATTTTATTTTGTTTTTCGGAGGAGGTTTAAAACTTTGTAATTGTATTATTCTTTGGCAAAATTGGTTTTTGACTGGCAGTTTTATTTGCTCGATTTATGTCCTTTTTCGTGTGATGCTCTGAAATCTTTTATTTATTTGGCTTCCTATTAAACTTATAGTCCCAATCATACAATTATATTTGGACTTTCAATTTTTCAAAATTAAGAATCATCTACAATAAAACCATTCTGATTTGTACATATCTTGAATAAACATTGACGGCGTTGAATCTTAATTTGTTGCAAGAGAAAGTATTGCCCAGAAGAATGACATTAGGCATCTCAGTTTAAGTTTCTGAACTTATTTTTGATTCAAAACTGTGCTTCTTTATGATACTACAAGAAATTGCGTCAAATAAGTCAAAATAATGGCAGCTATTCGAATGAATAAATGACTATTTTATTTGCAAAAGTATAAATAACATGCTGTGGCAATAGATAGACAAGTATATACAGTATAACAAAACGACAGATAGACAGAGAAATACATGATGTAATAAAGGGACAGTTAGTTCACAATTCATGATTTAATGTTCCATAATTCAGTTTAATTGTAATTGATTTAGATTTTGTTTGAAGCATTTGCATTAACCATTTCCTGTTATATAATAGTGATTGAGGACAACCGGAAATGAAGCATAAGCACTAACTTAATGTTCCAACTAAAATCAAGATCATCAGTACTTAATTAGGCTATAAGTGTTTTGAATGAAAAGCTTTCAATTTCAAAGGATTGGACGTATGATAGACTGATTTCCAGTTGTTGAATTCTTAGCCATGTGTTTTTATAAATAAGAAGATGTGGTATGAGTGCCAATGAGATAACTATCTATTCCAGTCACAACGTGTAAAAAGTACACAATCGTAGGTCAAAGAACGGCCTTCAATACGGCGCCTTGTTTCACACCGAACAGCAAGCTATAAAAAGGCCCAAAATAAAATAAAAATAGTGTTTTGTTCACTTATCAACCACTGGTCTAATAGGAAAACTAATTATCGCAACGGTTAATATTAATTTGATATAGTGGCCGAGTTGCATGTGCATGATGTATGAGGTGTAACTATTTGCGTTTTCGTTATTGTTGATCATCAACTAAATTGGAGTTCTGAAATGCTTGGATTGTACTGGTTTAAGTTCGAGTGGTAATTGATTTGTGGATATTCAGAAAAACAACAAATTTACAACTAGTACAATAGTAAGATGCTGCAAGTCAGTCTGAATGACACAGAAATTAACATTTATAGGTCACCGTACGGCCTTCGGCAATGAGCAAAGCCCATACCGCATAGTCAGCTATAAAAGGCGCAGAAATGACAAATGTAAAGCAAGTCAAACGAGAAAACTAACGGCCTAATTTATGCGCATAATTATGAACGAAAAACAAATATGTAACACAGCAAAAAACGACAAGCACTGAATTAGAGGCTCCTGACTTGGGACAGGCACATACTGAATGTGGCGGGGTTAAACATGTTAGTGGGCGCCCAACCCTCCCCCGTATTCTGGAACAGTGGTGCAACAGAACAATATAAGAACTGTACAAACAATAAACCAACAACGCATATGATCAACAGCAACATGCATTCAAGTACAGGCTCCTGAAGCAATTCAAACGAGAAAACTAACGGCCTAATTTATGCGCATAATTATGAACGAAAAACAAATATGTAACACAGCAAAAAACGACAAGCACTGAATTAGAGGCTCCTGACTTGGGACAGGCACATACTGAATGTGGCGGGGTTAAACATGTTAGTGGGCGCCCAACCCTCCCCCTAATTCTGGGACAGTGGTGCAACAGAACAATATAAGAACTGTACAAACAATAAACCAACAACGCATATGATCAACAGCAACATGCATTCAAGTACAGGCTCCTGAAGCAATTCAAACGAGAAAACTAACGGCCTAATTTATGCGCATAATTATGAACGAAAAACAAATATGTAACACAGCAAAAAACGACAACCACTGAATTAGAGGCTCCTGACTTTGGACAGGCACATATAAAATGTGGCGGAGTTAAACATGTTAGCGAGCGTCCAACCCTCCCCATAACCTGGGACAGTGGTGTAACAGTACAACATAAGAACAAACTATAAAAATCAGTTGAAAAAGGTTCTCAGAGTACTCGCAGTTACTGACAGCTAGTTCAAAGCCAATACCAACCATTATAAGAAAATTATGCATCTAAGACTAAATTACAAATCAGTGCACATCCAACATCCAATGGATTTAGTGTAAAGACGTCATAAAGAGTCAGAGAAAAACACAACCTTGTGCAATGCTAAGATACAGGTATCGACATATTGTAGAGCCAAAATATACATATGTATATAACAATTATATTTTGTTTTCTTTTAATTTACTGACAACAACATCAAAAGTAATACCAATAAAACAATATTCAAAGATCTATTTACAGTGTTGAATTGGTAAACTTTTATGATAAGTTTATTTAAAGGGTCGATAAGTTTACCAGGATAGTTTCTAAATTTCCGGGCACAGTAAACAACATCTCCGTAAAAATGATGATATGCTATCCCGTTTGACATCCAAACTTCAAAACCAAATCTTTATATCTATGGAACAATTTAGTAAAGGTTTTACGTAATTTGTGGTAACGAAAGCCCTGATTTAATAATTTCCCAGTAATACATATTACTGATGATAATGTAATAGATTACGTTCGTTAGAATCACAAACATCACAACATACACAGGCACAACGAACGAGTTGTGATATATAACAACCATAAGATGGTGCCAAAGGAAC